CTAAAGTCAATGAACCTGAGGTGCAGTTCGATAACGTGTTTACATGGTCTATTTTTTGTTCGGCCACATTCGACGAAAACGAATCTCTCCCATCGCCGAAAGGTATTATTTTTAGGGATTGTATTATCCACTCTCTGTATTGTTTTGGGTTTGGAGAGTATTCATGGTTTATGGCTTCGGTATAATGGAACTTACCCTATGTTTTGGTGTTCTCTAATAATAAAGTTTTGAGTAGAATTGGGTTTGGAGCATGAGCTAAAACCTCCCATTGGGTGTGGGTGTAAGCCAAACTTAAGAGGTAGTATATACCACTTGAGTGTTACCACTTTTTGATAACTTTTCAGTTTGGTCACTCAAGTTGAAACTTTAACTCAACATAGACGAGCAGATCATTTGTGTGTATTAATATTAGATATTTGACCCAGAGTCTTGCTACTATCAATTATAAGGAAATGAAATTTTGTGTTTAACAATATCAATTACAACACATCTTGCTTTGGATCACTAAAATCTAGACATGAAAGCAAAATATGAGTAACAAAATTTGGACCATTTTGTCCTTCAACTATATATTATTTAAAAAAGAAACGTGTAAATGGTATTTTGCATCATTTTTTACAATATCCAATTACTTACACCATAAATTATATGTCAAATTGTATTAAAATTAATTAATTAATTAATTAAGTGTCAACTTATTTGTTCTATTAGATAAGCTATATGTTTTAGAAGCAAAAAGAATATCATTATAAAAGAGGGAGGATAATAAAATTGACTTTGAATACAAGTCAAAATAAGGAAAATAAGCCCACCACCTACACATTTCTTGGCATCAATTCCTTTATTTTTTAATATATAAAATAAATAATACTATAAATAAATAAAAATAACCACATGAATACATATTTTTGTTCTTGTGTATGTATTTTATATTCAATTAACATGTTTTTTAATGTTTATAGAATTCAAATTATATAAAGTTAAAAAAAAAAAAAAGGCCAAAATTGAAAAATATAACAAGTAGGACTTCAACAAAGGTGTGATATATGGATTCATTTTATAAAAATGGTCTTTAGGTTACATTTATTACATAGAATATATGGTGGCAAATGTTTTTTTCTTAACAGATTTAGTCATTTGCTCTAACGATCGTGTAGAGTTTTGTTAAGTATGAATTCACTATTTTTTTTCTTATTTTATTATTATTATCATTATTGTTACCATAAAAATCCGATGAAACTGCATACTCTGATGAAATTGACTACTTTGACGAAACCAACCTCCTTTGGCAAGAACCGCTAGTGAACCTTTAATGTTGAAATCTTCATCTTCTCCCACTTAACATCAACAACAAATCATAAAACCTAAATTGTAACCACAAAATCAAACCTCTAAATCTAAAACTGAATTCGACGTTATACATACACAGAGAACAAGAAATTGATTTACATTGTGGCGGGGGTTTTGACGTCGCATACAAGGAAGAAAAAAGATGAAGGTTTGTGAACATTAATGTATCTGATTCATGACATCGATGGAACCAGGGGTTTTCCAATGGAAATGATCAATTTTAGGTTTTAGATGGGGTTGGTGGTAGTGGTGTCTGATGGTGAAGACGAAGGCGATAAATTTTTTGGTGTTCTTGATGGGCATAGGAGGAGTTTGTAGGGCTTGAGAGGGTGAGTATGTGAGAAGAGAGGGGGGAAAACAGATGGTGGGGAAGTGGTGATTATTGGTTAGGAGAGAGGATGGTGGTGTAGGAAAGGAAGGATGGGATTTCATCGGCAATGGGGGAGGGTGACGACGAAAGAGGATTTATATAGAAATAGAAGAATTAGAAAGAATAGAAGAAAAAGAAGGATCAGCTGAAGGGCTTTCAGATATCAAAGCTAATAGAGAGCTTTTCATTTCTCTAGAGTCTTTAATAAGATTCTTCTTCATCTAACGGGACTGCTCATGATTGAGTAATATCCCATAAAGAGAATTAAGAGAGAGAATGATGTCCTTGGACATCTTATGACACATGGTATATTGATCCCACGATTCTGGCAAGCATTCAATAAATTTTGTCAGTCTCAGAGTTGGAATATTCTCTTCCAACGGTCCTTAAATTAATTAGAAGACAATTAAAACGTTGATGTACTTCAGACAAAGATTCATTCTTTCCACAGAAAAAGCTTTCATATTGTCTTATTAAATTAATCTTCCTCGATTCTTGTACTTTAGTAGTACCTTCATATTGAACACATAGAGTCTCCCACGTGGATTTAGAGGTATTCAGCTTCATCAGTGAGTGATATACCTCGTCAGGAAGAGACATGACTATTATAAACCTCGCACGAGTGTCTAAAGTCATCTTCTTCTTGTCTTCATCACTTCATTAATGAGAGAGCTTTGGAATCTGCCACTTAGGAATCTCGGCAGTCGTAGCAGTTGCAAGAACTGCTGGAGGGATAGCATATGGAACATAAGGTCCATTTCCTATATAGTATGGAATCTCAGGATCCATACCTTCCAAGAATAAAGACATCAGATTCTTCCAGAGACTAAAGTTATCTCTAATGAAAGGGGGAGGTTTGGCAAGAGACCCATTGTCGTGAAAGCAAGTGTTGTGTTTTGCAAAGCCATTTGTAAGGAATAAATTATCTAAAGAAGAACAGAGAAGAAAATACCAATAAAACAACACAAAAAGAAAATGTTGCTCTAATACCACTTGTTTGTAGAAGTGGGGATGAATACAAACACAGAAACTTTTACTTTTAAAAATTATATATTGATAAAGAAAGATCATACAAATGTTACAAATTGTTTGCAGAAGAGATAAGGTAAAGAACCTATATAAACAATCTAAGGTTCACACAATTACAAATAGCAAAGAGAAAATATTTGCTACAAGGAATAAAGATAAGAATCAAAGTGCTCTTCACTTGTTCAAAGTGATTCTTTCTCTTAAACAAAGAGTAGAGAGAGAAGTAACTTCTTTGGGTAAGTTAGTAGTAAGGAAGATTGATAACTGAGAGAAGAGTATTCAACTATTTATACCCATTGCATTAAATGCAATTCAGAAGGTAGAAAACACATGTCAAGCTTTTGGAGGAAAGCTTGTCTTTTGCTATAGTAAATAGTCATTTTGGCTATATATGAGCAGTTCTCTATTCGTAGAGTAGGTAAGCACTATAGAGTCAGCAGAATGGATCTGTATTGTACTATACTCTAGAAAATGTATGGCTTTGTCCTTTATGTGAGGGAGGACAAGACAAAAACAATCGTGCATGGCAAGCTTCATTTGATTGTTGAATGTTGAGATGACGCTGGAGAGTCTCTTCAGCATTCGTTGAAACTTGTGCATACTTCACGCATAATTAGACGAGTTTGTAATTATTGAATGCCGCTTCAGATCATGAACGCGCTAATCTCTAATCTTCAGTTTCTATCTTCGACATTGCTAAAGTATCTGTGGTGTGAGTTTTGTTCTCTTGAAGTATAAGAGTCTCTGAAGGAGTTACAATACATGTTCAACGATCACTGAACAGACTCAGTGACGATCGCTGAAACTAAATAACATAAATACTATACTTCGTAAGGTAAAAAATGGATCATCATCAAATCAGTGAGAGAGATGATCAACAGCTCCAATTAAGCTTCACACAACCTCTTGGACAAAAAGGCCCTTTCCCTTCTATTCATATGAAAACTCCACTTTCTTTCATCTTTAAAAGCTTCATGTAACCAGAAATAACACTTTGAAATCTTATCCAAATATGTCTCAAAATTGCACATAGTGGCTAGATCGTGGCTACAATCCACTGGTGACGATTTTAGAAAAAATAATTAAATCCTTCATATTTTATCACCTCTTAAAAATATTTTAGACCAAAAGAGGGAGATAAGAAGTAAAATGGGTACATAAAATGACATAAAATATGAGTATTCAACGACAAATAACTCTCGACTTTGAGAGTTATCACTGTTCAAGGGCACACTGTCACTATGTTTGCTTTCAAGTAATATAATGGTATAGTACCATGATCATATCCATAGGAATTGGTCTTACTAAGAATCTGAGATTTTCACGAACAATAGGTAATAAAAAGCGGGTATGATTGCAAATTTTTTTCATATGGTTAAAGAACCAGCCACAAAATAACCCTTCACGATTTCTTTCTCTCGAAAATAAATCGTGTTGGAATGTGGCTACGGTCCTGTCATATAAAGTGGCCACAACTGCTAACCTCCGGTTTGCCAACCTTACTAAGTAGATCTCGAAAATCTAAGTTCCGTCGGCATGGAGAGATTCACACATCTCTATGACACTCCAACTCGACCGACAACTTAATCTTAGTGAAAGTTTTACAAAAACCCATATCTTTATGTGATTGTTGAAGTTTTTTTTTCAAACTTCTTTGCATCACTCAAGTCGTATTTTGAATATGTTCATCTATGGGTCAAAGATCTAATATTAATACACATAAGTAATCGGCTCGTCCATGTTGAGTTAAAACTTCAACTTGAACAAAAATTAAAATAACAATAAAGTTGTAAAGATGAGGGTAAAAATACTAAAATGACTTTACTTAACAAACTCTTCGTTAATGTCGTTAGGATAGATAACCTGTTTCAGAGCCAATTAGTGACTCTTTTGAAACTTATTGAAACATACAGACGATTTCAAATTTTCAATAATACCTCAAGGACCAAAAATGTAACTTACTCATATTTCTATGTATTTATTGGCTTATTGGTAAAGTTGGAATCATATGAAAAACATTTTTTATAATTTTGTTTTTGTAGCCACACACTTTTTTAGATTTCTATTTAATTCATTTAATTTGTTTAATGTTAAAATCATTTTTAAAGAATAAAAAATGGAACTGGGTGGGACCCACTAGTTGCAGCTTAAAGCTCTCTTCATCCCCTTCAATAGACCCCCCAATAAACCACACATTTGGTTCTCTCTCTCTCTCTCTAGATTCCATAATCCCCAGATGAGCACCCGATGTTTGGCAGAAGAATTATAGTTAAATTGCCTAGAAATCTGTAGAAAAACAGCAGTAATAGTGAGATTCCGGTGAGGATGACACAGTCTGAGCTCGCCGGAGAGTATAAAGACCGGAATGTCGATGGAGGTCGGACGGTTGTGGTCGGGGTGAAATTGGATTCACCAAGCAGAGAGTTACTCACATGGGCTTTGGTAAAAGCAGCTCATCCTGGTGATCGTGTTATCGCTCTTCATGTTCTAACCAACAATGGTAAGAGTAATAATTTTGATTATTTTTGTTGTAAGATGATAATGGGTGTAAATTAGGTTGTAGGTTTAGCGTTTGATAATTTTCTGATGAAATTGGGGTTTGGGTTTTTGTTTGTGTGAAGAAATAGTGGATCCTGATGGGAAGTCTTCATTGCTATCTCTTGTGAAAGCCTTTGACTCCATTCTCGCTGTTTACGAAGGATTTTGTAACCTCAAACAGGTCAATTCTTGATTCCATTTCAATTTTCTGTAAGAAATTTATGGGTGTAATTAAGCTCATTCAATGGAATAATGATGAAATTAAAATTCTGTTTTATGGATTTGCAGGTGGATCTTAAGTTAAAGATCTGCAGAGGTAATTCAGCTCGAAAAATTCTTGTACGAGAAGCGAAATCGTACGGTGCCAATGAGGTTATAGTTGGGACTGCAATAACTCATCATGCCATTAAATCATCATCTTCTGTAGCAAAATACTGTGCTAGAAAACTTTCCAAGAATTGTTCAATAATTGCTGTTAATAATGGCAAAATTGTGTTTCATAGGGACTCCCGTTCATCACCATCCAATGTCGGTGAAAAAGGTAAACATACTCCTAGTATTTGGTTGGCTTTCCATTAAGTGATACAGTTGTCTGCATGGATTAATCCGTTTGTATAGACCGGGAAGATTTTTGTTTGAGAGGGCTTCTTCATAGATGGAGAAACTTATTTTTTTATTTTTTTGTTGAGAAGAGCAGGTCTAGAAAAAGCTTAGTTTTCTGCATAAGCGGAAGCTTATTGAATAAGCCACTTTTTATATTAAGCCACTACCAAAACAGTAGTGTATAGCTGACTGAATAAGTTGCGAGTTCCATTAAGCTGCTAACATATAGATCCTAATTTTTGTTTGCTTTTATGGGTAATTTGAAGAACACTTGAAAAACACCGGCGCTAATATGATTATAATTTGTGGGAATTTTCGTGCGGTCTTTGATTTGTTGTCTCGGTATTTTGCAGATCATCATAAAAACCGATTGTTAAGTGTGATTCATAGGTCACTGACTTTTAATCCCAAGTTACCAAATAATGGAAATGTGGATGACAAATGCAATCAAAATGATTGCAAGAAATTGGAGTTAGCTTTGGTAAAAACCAAATCTGATTGCATGGCAAATGGTATGAAATATAATTGTTCAATATGTTCACCGGATTCGGTTCTCCCAACTACTGCTTGTGTTCTTGAGGAGACCGGTGAAGATGATGAAAGCTTCATGGCTCTTGTACCTGTAAAGAAGCTCGAAGCTTCATCGAGTTCAAGAGACGTAAGACCTGGTTGGCCGCTGCTTCGTAGAGCCATTTCTTCGAATAGACTTTCCCAGGATAGATCACCTGTTCGTCAAATCTCTGTGGTTCAGTGGGCTATGAGGCTGCCCACTAGAAACCTGTTACAAATTACAAACTCAGATCTGAGTGATGATATCGTTGATAAGGAAAAAGATAGATCTTTGGAACTAAATGGTGAAAATGGAGCAATTGTTCTTGTTCATGGTGACGAAATTCAATCTGATTCAGGTTCTCCGTTGAGTGGTGAGTCAATATGCTTACCAGAAGAACTAGAGGGTCTTCATGAAAAATACTCGGGTAGTTGTAGATTGTTTAGATATCAAGAACTTGTAGCAGCAACAATGAACTTCAAGCCTGGTGTGTACCATTCAATGTTTTCATTGTGTTTATTCGCTTGTATAGTCATGAATTTTACGGTTTTCTTAAGCAATTATTTGATCCAATTTTCAGAGAATATGATTGGCAGAGGAGGGAACAGTGAGGTGTACAAAGGTTGTCTTCCTGATGGCAGGGAACTTGCTGTTAAAATCTTGAAGACGTCCGAGGATGTACTGAAAGAATTCGTGTTAGAAATCGAGATTATTACTGCTTTACATCACGAAAACATCATTTCCCTTTTCGGGTTCTGTTTTGAAGACAGCAAACTCCTTTTGGTTTATGATCTTCTATCAAGAGGAAGTCTCGAAGATAATTTGCATGGTATGCTCGTTTTCGTGTTATTTACATGTTCATATTCTATTTTCGTGGTACTTTTACTCATTGCATTCTCCATTAAATCAGGCCATAAGAAGGATACGGTATTTGGATGGAATGAACGATACAAGGTTGCTGTGGGTGTAGCTAAGGCACTTGTATATCTACACAATAATTGTGATAAACACGTTATCCACAGGGATGTTAAATCATCAAATATCTTGCTCTCCGATGATTTTGAGCCACAGGTATTCATTTAAACATTTACAACAATAACGGAAACAGCCGCTCTACCCTTTGGGATAGAGACCAGGCATGCCTACATCTTACCCTCCCAACCCCCCTACAGGTGGGATATACCGAGTTCGTTTGGTTTGGTTTGGTTTGGCTTGGTTTATTCACAACCATAAGTTGTATTTATTTATGGTTATAATAACTTGAGATCATACTGGTTTGCTTATTTCAGCTCTCAGATTTCGGACTGGCTAAATGGGCTACACCTACCGGATTGCATATAACCTGTACCGATGTTGCCGGCACATTTGGGTTTGTATCTTTAACTTCAACTTTCAACAAGGCTACTCTTTTCTGATCATACGAAAATGAAAGCTGCTTACGTTTTTAATTACACGATGCAGTTACTTGGCTCCCGAGTATTTTATGCATGGGAAAGTTACCGAGAAAATTGACGTCTATGCATTTGGAGTGGTGCTTCTTGAGCTTCTTACAAGAAGGAAACCAATAACCAGTGGATATCCGAAGGGTGAAGAGAGCCTGGTTATGTGGGTATGTAGCTTCTTTTCTTTTTGGTAACTGTGGGTGTTTGGGCCTGCTTGCACACACCTCCACTAACCCCATGGGCCCTGAAGATAACAGCTAGGAAAATCCCCGGTGGCCCTGATTTATGGGCCAACTCTGTCTGTAACTTGAGTCTGTTGGTTTGTCAATTCTCCTATATGCTAATAGACGTGTGTTGTTCAGGCAAAGCCGATTCTGAGTAGTGGGAAATTTGCACGATTGTTGGACCCAAGCTTGGGCGATGACTATGATTTCGACCAGATGGAGAGGATGGCTCTTGCTTCTACGCTGTGTATTAGACGTGCACCACGTGCTCGCCCCCAAATGACCACTGTGAGTCTTGTTCTTAACGATTATAAATCAAAATCATTGGTTTATGAATTGCGATGCCATATAACTCCTTAGTGATTGGCATCTAATTATTGGTTCTAGTTCAATCGAATGTTGTTGAGCTAGTATGTTACTTTAGGCTCGGAAGTCACCAATGGTTGGTATGAATAGCGACGAGTGTCCCTTGAGGTGATAGTAGATGATCTTGAGATTCAATTTTTGAAATAAATAATGGTATCTGACATCTTTGAACCAACTAGTTGAAAGGCGGGTTATTTAGGAGAATAACCTTCTGACATTTTAAATACATGACATTCTGGCAGATTTAGGAACACCTCTATCTAACAGAAGAATGCCCGTTTCTAACACAAGCCCAGTATATCCCACCCGTAGAAGGGGGTGTGGGGATGTATGCATACCTGACCTCTGCCCTCAATTGTTTCTACGAAGACCCTTGGATTATTACATGACCCCTGTCGTCCTTGCATATAATTTGTTATTCTTTCTTTAGAAGTTGAATCGATGTCGTTAATAAATGCAGATTTTGAAATTGCTTGGAGGTGACGTCGAGGTGACAAAGTGGGCAAGGCTAGAAGTCGATTCTACAGGTGGGTCCGATGCTAGACTACATATTAGCAACATAGCGGAAGAAGAAGAGGAAGGGTTTTCTCAATCGAATCTAAGGTCACATCTTAACCTTGCGTTGCTTGATATCGAAGACTCGTCTCTTTCCATGAGCAGCAGCATCGAGGACAGCATCTCGATCGAGGATTACCTCCGAGGAAGATGGAGCCGATCATCGAGTTTTGATTGATGTGTAAATAGATTTTGAAATTTAAGCCACTGTGGATTGTATGGATGGATGAGAGGTTGTTTGCTGGTTGCTTGGTGTGTTGCCCTCCTCCTCCTTCTCAGTTGAAACCAACTGCTGAACCTCAATCAAAGTGAGCTTTTTTTTTCTTTCTTTTTTGGGTGATTTAGTTAATAAAATCTCATCATGTTGTTTTGATGCTTGTATTTTTGTATAATCAGTAGTCAATAAACTCATTTTTGTACTCGTTACGTGTTTGTGCACACTTGTCGGCCATCGCATTAGTCTTGGATGTACGGGCACCTGCTCTACCGTCCCGACATAATGAAGTGTTTTTACGAGTCTTAATGGTGTATTTGCTCCAAGTTGTCTAAAAGTGGTTGCAACCTATTGTGTTAATGGGGGTTGGGTTCCGGTAAGAAAAAAAGTTATTTTTAAATTATTCATTAATACAATAATATTAAAAAAATGTAGATCACAATTTATCTTGCTAACATTTTAAAAAATTAAAGAAAATAAAATAAAAAGTGTTACCGTTTTAGACAAACGAAATAGTTTTATCTCGAAAATAATATACCATATTCAAATTTAAAAAATATATTACTCTAGAATATTTAAGTTGTACGTTATTTAATTAAAAAAAAAAAGTTAAATGTTCTTTTAACTCATAGCAATGAAAAAGTGAAAATCATTAAAAATAATTTGAAATAAGTTCTTTTTTTATTTTAGTCATGTCATCAAAATGATGTATCATCTACATTAATTCATTGAAACCAATGAATCAAAAAAAAGTAAGGGGTTAAGTGTCTGTCTTGTTTATACTTTAAATATCTGTGTAAGTATACATATCATTGTAATTTTATGTATATTTTAAAAAATTATGTATTCAAATAAAAAAAACTTGTTAATTATGTTTTTATATTATCATAATCATATCATTACATTAGTTTTGTAATATGATCATAAAAACTTAATTATATCAAATATATGATTATAGACAGCTTAATTGATAAGACATTGGATTTGCTCCAAATAAACACATTTTTGAGTTTCTTAAAGAACACTGATTTTTTTTGCTTAAATATTAACTTTTGGACTAATAAAATTAGGGGTAAACATGATATGGTACCATATTTTTTTTTATCAATACCATGTACCAACTATTTATAATTGGTATGCAAAGTGCACCAACCAACTCTACTTGGTACCATCTTTTTCCGGTTGGTATATGTTGGTACGGTTTTGTACTAACATCTCAAAAATTGAAGTTACAGTTACAAATTCATTAGCATAACATGTTGTCCAAATAGTTTAATACGAACCTAGAAGTGGAGGCATGCGTTGAGAAGAGAAAGAAACTAGGGTTACTGATTATTGAGTTAGAGTCTTTGGGTTGCTATGAGATGTTCACCCGTAACCAATAAGTGAGTGACACAAGTAAGTAATTAAAGTCAGTAACCGAGTAAACAATAAAATGTTAATAGTATTCAAGTATCTTAAAGGAACCATGAATTATAGTTTGAGTTATTTAGGGTACCCTTCGGTTCTAGAAGGTTATTCAGATGCAAGTTAGATATCCAACATGGAGGATCACTCCTCTACTAGTGGTTGGATATTCTTGCTTGGGGGAGGTGCCATCTCTTGGGCATCCAAGAAGCAAACTTGCATTACAAACTCAACAATGGAATATGAGTTTGTTGCTCTAAAGGATTTGATTTATGATATTTCATTATGGTCAAAGTCGATTGCATCTATTTCTATTCATTGTGATAGTGCTGCCACTTTGGCTAAGGCTTATAGCCAAGTTTACAATGGCAAGTCTAGACAATTTGGTGTTAGACATAACATGATTAGAGAATTAATCATGAATGGTGTAATATCAGCTAAGTTTGTTAGAACACGACAAAACTTGGCAGATCATTTGAGTAAAGGTCTAGCAAGAGACTTAGTACACAAATATGCAATTGGGATAGGACTAAAGTCCATCTAAATGTATAATGGTGAGACACCCAGTTCCCTTCTATTATGACATTAGAAGTTGAATTCAATGTGGATAACTCACACTTGTAGATTGGAACACAATTAGTATCATCCCAGGTATGTGTTCAGTCCTACAATAGGCTAGGCTGAAGTTTATCTTCTTAATAATTTCTTTGATAATGTGTATTGTAGGTACATGAATTCAAGGAATTACATATATGATTGTGAAGTGTAGCCGCATTTCAAAAGGTTCGGGACTTGACCTTTTGTACAATCATGAGAGGATTAGGACACACGACTTTATCATTGGGTCATGTTTTATTTTACTAGATGAGTATAGAAACTTGTATGTATTTTATATATCAGGTATTCAAATGGGTTAATAAGTTCAATCCTTAGGACACCATGATTCTCGAATATTTAGAACGTGTAAAATACTAATATGAAAAATTCAAACGACTCAACATTTTCATTTATGTGCAAGTTTGGTTTGTTCAACTTATTGTGTGAATTCATGGGTTACACTAAAATAGGACTGTTGGTGATTTAGGTTTCATCGACTGTTTAAGTGTAACTGGAATTAACACGAGTGCCAATGGTTTTCAAACTGTGATCTAATACAAGTTAGGTGGTGCATGGTGCACACTTGTATATAAGGCGAGTTTGACTTCAGATACGAAGAAAAGGCAGAAGTCAAGGGGGCAGCATCCCTTACAAGATTCAAGGGGTAGCGCCTTAAAACCTCCACTTAATTTTGGACTCGGAATGTAGTGGAAAAACGTGATCAGACACTTACAAGATACTTCATTTTTTTTTATCAATTTTGAGGTTCGATCATGTGGTATTAAGACATAGTAAAATCAACTGTATCCAGACTTAGAGCTTCAATCTCTGAACACGTTAAGTCTAGAGATAGTCCTATCTTTGGTTGGTCTTAGTCCTATCTTTAGATTATCTCTGGACATGTATTTTCAGATTTCTGGAACTGCACGTTTAACAAACTCATGATCTTATCTATTAACGGATATAACCATCTGTAATTGATTCTAACTTATCAAAAACCGTCATTTATGTTAATCTTATCCATTTTTTGAATGGAATAGGTATATATACGAGATATACATCAGTTTTGGGGCTGCTGCAAAATCTGAACATTCAAAATATTCTCCAGTAATTTTGGCTTTCGTTTTTATACTAAATTCGAAACTGTTCTTAAGAATTATTTTAGATTGAATTTTGTGATACCTAGACATAAGGTCGAAATATCAATTCAAAAAGTAAACTTACACGATTTTCAAACAATCTAGATTCTAAGTATCATTTACCCTCTTTCTAATCCTAATTTTTCAACAAATTTAAGAATACATTTATTTATTTTAGAAAAATAGGAAATAAAACGGTCAAATGTAAGCGGCTTTCATTGCTCATGGCTGCTTTTCATTTATGCTCTTTACATGCACGCCATTCCTTTTGCAATTAAATAAAACGATTCACCATATTTCTATATTTTTTTTTAATTTATACATATATATATATATATATATATATAAAATATGAGAATGGTTCAAATGATAACACCTTCATTTTACGAGAATATGAAAACATCATTTTATAACAGACAATCACATGTGATACTATTATTTCATCACATATGATATATATGTAAGTAATACTAAATCAGTGACGCGGACGATTTTCGCAATTTTGGTTACGGGCCAAGTCGCCTTTACACAACTAAACTCCCTCACATGTATTATCACATTTGGTAAGGGTGTTGTTTATATGATACTATAATTCATCAAGACCATCACATATTATGCTAAATCATAAACTCATACAACTTTTGGCACGGCCTAAGTCGTAGAACACGTCTTCACATACCACCAGATCCTCACATGCGTATTATCACATGTGATAAGAGTGTTCTTGCGTTCTCGTAAAATGTAGATATTCTCGTTTGAACCTCCACCTATAAATATATATATATATATATATATATATATATATAAAATAAAATATGTATTTTTGTCTTTTTATGTCAAATAAAATACAACAAAATTTTTATATATATCTGGTGGAAGCGCCATTTTCTTTTTAAAAATCTTAACTTTTGGTTTTGTATTTTAAAAAAATTATAAAAAAACGCGTTGGGGATGCTTAATTTTGAATGAATTTTTTGTTAATCAAATGACAAATTTAATTATAATTAGGGCTAGTTAATGCGTATCGACTAATACCTGAGTGACCATGAATGATATGGAGTTGTTACATGTAAACCATCATGATCACAAGAAATTTTGCAGCGTATTGATTCGAACGCTGGAAAGATGAGATTCCTATTGCAGCGTTCTGAGATCTAACCAGTAAGACACAATCCGAATGGTTAGATTGGAAATTTAGTTATCAATTTTTGAAAGTGAATAATTATTTTGAGACAAACATAAATGAGTATTTTCAAAATAAAAATAGTATTTAGAGTTTAATTTGGTGAAATTGACTAAAATAACATTTTTAGTCATCTAAATTGGTCTCCTAGCCATTGCTCTCCCTGGTTGACCCAAATGTTATTGTATCCATAATATTCAAGTTCGTAATTTGCGAACTTGGTTAAACAACACTTATTTTTTCAAGAATCGGTCTAAATCTGTAATGATACATCTGCAATATTGCGGATATGTTATATGCCAGGACGTGATCAAAACCCTTGTTTTTTACTTTGAGTTTTTACGTATTTTATGTTATTCGGTGATCGGGTGCTGACATGTGACATGTTCGTACTATTATGGATGTGAGTCGATTCTGTAGAAGATTTTGTGGTTTAGCTTAGCAGACCAATTTGGATTGGTAGATTGGTTATTTGACTCAGGGGGTGTTTGAGGTTGCTTATAAAAATAACTTATTAACTTATTCAAGTATGACATCGGTAATAAGCATTTTTGAGTGTTAAGATAAATAACTTATATCGGTACAAAACCGATAATAAAGAGTTTTTTTAAAAAAAAATTAAACGATTTTAAGTTATAATAAATTAATAAACAATTTTGTTAAAAAATATAATAATACCAAAACACGATATCAATTTTAGAGGCATTTGCACCTTTGATTACGTAGGTAGAAGAATAATGGTAATCTGCAGTTATGGCGGTAGCAGATAACTGAATACAAAGTCCAACTTCCAACGACTCCAGTTAACAATTGTTAACGTTCAACCACGTGGTTCGCCTTTCAAGCTCACTTCATTAATTGTAGCATCCAACTGCTTCATCTTTCTACTTGTAATTCTTCTTCTCCATTACTGTAATTTTATGTTTTTGATTCTGAAAAATGGCTGTTTCAATCGCTCTTCTATTTTCCCTCTTTCTTGTTTTGCAGCCGTGGAGTATCGTTACAACAGCCGTTGATGTTCTTGCTCCGATTCTCTCGCCGATCTTTGGTTTGTTTAATTTTCGATTCATTTATTTCTTTTTTTTACTTTTTCAGTCTCGAATTGGAAATGCTTAAAACCCTAAAATTGATAAACATTTGCAACACAGTGAAATTCTTGAAAAGCTGTTGAAATAATGACGTTTTGGAACTATAAACTCTAAAAGTAACTGAATGTCTGGATCTGATTTTGAATTTGAAAGATGCTTAAACCCTAAAATTGATAAACATTTGTAACACAATGAAGCTCTTGAAAAGCTATTGAAATAATGACGTTTTGGAATTATAAACTCTAAAAGTAACTGGATGTCTGGATCTGATTTTGAATTTGAATGAGTACCGAGTTGAAACTCCGGAACCAGAAGTGGACTCTTTTTTATTACTCTGTTTTCCCATGGAAATTGCTACAAAATGTCCATGAAAATGTGAAGTTTTGCCAAAGGAATAAAGGATTATTGGCCCAATGGTATCCGGGTAAAGGGTAGAGTCCAGGAGGTCTAAGGGTTCTAACCAGTGTGGTTGAGTATTTGAGGTGTATATTATATACTTGAGAAAAACGTGAAGTTCCCTTTTTATGGCAGAATTTCAGCATGGGTTTACTTATTCGCTGATTGTTATCTTTATGATTATTGGTGATATTGCTTCTACTCTGCAAGATTGTCTTGTTCTTTTGTTATGTAAGATTACTTTTTATACGTTTAGATGTTTGATTGATGATCCCAATAGGATGATTTCCAAAGAAAGAAAATACTTCTCCATTTGAAGAAACTGTTTGATACCATTCAATCTATCAATTTATGTGTGGCTGTTTGTGTAGTATGATGATAGGTAGTTATAAGATAAAAGTTTTCATGTCTTCCAGAAATGAATTTTTCATGGGATGTGTGAAACATGATTTATATGGCATTCTGTCGGTTCAATAAACTAAGATCCATTTGGATATTCGCAACTCAACCTAGTACTTTGCAGATACACAATTAATGATGATATTGTTAGTAATTTATCACCAATAACATTCATAGTGCTAATTATAAAATAAATGTAGCGAGCATACTTTTGACAAAATTGACAAAAAGATTGTTTTGCAAATCTAATTACAGAAAAGATTTATCAATCGCATACTTCAATTCTCACAATTATATCAACTAATTTTTTTTTTTTGGTCCAATTAAGGTGTCATCTGCAAATCTAAATGGCCAATAGATGAAGGTTAATGTGTTAGTTTACATGTAACGACCTTCTTATCATATATGATTCCTCAAAACTCCTCCAAAATTTGAATTTAATTTTGTGTACTTTAGATGAAAGATGGACAACTTACGAGCCTACAGTTATGTTATTGATAAATTATTTTTGTACAGTTATATAATCCAGAAAAAAACATGCAAGTTAAGTTACCACATTATCTATGATGCATATATTTTTCTGTGAATGATTCAGAATTCATATCTATGCTGTATGTTGAAATACAAGTTTTAACTTAAGAAATCTTGCCTTTTTCTTCTTTTTTGGGTGTAAATTGTGCAGAAGATGTGTGCGATGACGTGAAATGTGGTAAGGGAGTTTGCAAGCCTTCAGATAATAGCACTATCCCATATGAATGTGAATGCTCACCTGGGTGGAAGCAACTATCTACTTCTGATGATGATCACCATTTGAAGTTTCTCCCTTGCGTCATCCCCAATTGTAAGTCTAAAACTTCTTGAATATATATGAACTGTCTTGGTACATGGAAGGGTAGGAACATTTGATAGGAGAAGTATATCATGGAACTGCATTGGAGGATAGAAATGTAGACAGGGTTTTTTACTATTTTGATAAGAGAAAAATTGTTGTCTATATAGAAATATCAACGGAAAACCTTAAACAAAATATTAAAGAACAAAAAAGCAAAAGGAAAATTTTCTAAGCTCTGCTGTTCCATGACAACAAGTTTTAAACTATATAGTACTAAAGAAGAATCAGGTTCGCTATCTGTACTTGGCAAATTGTTAGTTGCCATCTCAACTTTAGGTTTTGAATTTTATTCTCAATATTCCGTACTCTTTAAGTCTCTTATGTCCATGTCTTGCCAAGTGTCTTGTACTTTTCTGTGATTTTTGCCTCATATTTTATATAAAAATTCCTGAAACCTTTTATATGCCTAATGAATACTCAATAGGCATGTTATATGCTATGCTGTTAATTGTGGTGCTATAGCGGTTAGCAGTCCTAGAGGAAATAGCGGTTCCGCTAATAGCGGCGCTAATCACCGCAATTGGGCCGCAATTTTGACTTGCAATAGCGATGTGAAAACCACAATTAGGAGTTGGGCTTTAAGTTGGCCTTTTAAAGCATTTAGAGAAGTCGATTAGGGATTACAAGGTAGGGGGCTGATTTTCATTTGCAATATTGGTGTGTAAACTCGCTATTCCTCTCACATCTTTTCTATTCCAGTCTATATTTTGCATCTTCTCTTCACAACAACATTGTCTTCCAACATTATATATACTTGTAATGATTACATGAACCGCTATATGTGGACCGTTATACCACCGCTTTACTATCACGATAACCGCTATATCAAATCACGGTCTTGACCGCTATTTCAATTTTTGATCGCTGTAACAACATAGGTTATATGTGGGTTTTATAGGGTCATGGCTGGTGTTGTTTTTTTTACATTTGAACTCCTAAGCATTTAAAAATATGTTTGGAGCTTAGGCTTGTTATACGGTCATGGCTTGTGTGCCCTGTTACATTTGAACCCCCAAGCATTTAGAAATTTCTTTGGAACTTAAGCTTCTAGGTCTTCATTGTTATCTTAGCATTTAGGTCTTGTCTTTCTTAGCATTCAGGCATCTTGCTTGCTTTCTCTCTTGAGGTTTTGAATTTAGCACTTGAGCTTCTTTTGCTCTTGGACACTTCGGCCTCTTGTTTTATATGTTTTCATATCATCTTATACCCGTCTGGCAATTTCTTATGCTTTAGCATCTTTGTGGGAGCATTAAATTGAACAACATATCGCATACTCGGTGGGATATTGCCTATGGTACATGCATGAACCTGTACATCCTTGATTTTTAAGTTTAGAAATCTTCGATGCATGAAGTTGAGCTATGAAAACACCAGTGTTTCCCCTTCTGGAAAACTTTAAAATTAAACCTACTTATTTTGCTACTGCATCATTAAAATTATTGTTGCTATTTGACTTTAATCTGCATGGTCACCTTTTCTTATCAATATACAAGGGTATTTTAGATATTTGACTCATAGTGAACTTTTATTATATATGTATCGAGTCAAGGATTATACTTTTTGTGGGATGGAGATGAAATTACATACGTATAATGCTCCTTTGACAAAGTTAGCTATTGGTATCAGATAAATTTCGTTCATAAGAAGCTCTCAAGTGGACTTTTTTGTATTTGCACTTTCAAGTAAGATACGATATTTGCAGATGTCCTAAGGACCTTTTGTCACCCTATTTTGTACAAGTGAGCTATTGGTATGTAAGCATAAACTTTATTGAATTTGTGACAAAATCTCGGTGATTCTGGAATATTATTGAGATCTTAATTGTATACCAAACTTGTAGTTCTGTCATTGATGCATGTAAGGTTTAAAGATTTGAAGGTAAAGTGGAAATCATCATTACTGAAATATCTTTTGTTGTCTTCCTTGGAGTAGGCTGTAGGCTACTAGTGTGATTTATTTTTATCTGTAAAGATCTCTGGACATGAATCAAACAAAAATCTGTTATGCTAATCTGCTTCACACATGAAGTTACATTAATTTTTATTTTGGGAGGATGCCAAATATAAAATTCTAGCTATTTCTTACTCTCTCCGTCCCAAAATAGGTGTCCGAATTTCTATCTATGCTTGTCACAAAATAAGTGTCTACTTTCAAAAATAGATAACTAAATTCTCACATTTACCCTTAATTAATACATAAATACTCGAGAGATATGAAGTGAGAGAACTAAATAAGGGTAAAGTTGTCATTTGGTTAACTAATTATTACATGTCTAAAGTTGTGTTTTATTTCAACTGTAGACACTTATTTTGGTGCGGAGGGACTAGGAAGTATATGGCAAAGTTTCAAGCTAACTTATCCATACCCGTTATCATCTTTAGAAATAATTGAACACATTGCTTTTTGTCCATGAAATTCTTCCATTTTGTTGCTACGTAAGACATTTAACTAATAGTCAAACACTTGTATTAACCTATAAACCAAACTAAACACACTTGATAGGTCCCACTCGGAAGTATGGTAGTGGGTGGGATGTACGGAGACATGTTCATTACCACAAAAAGGAGGGGTTGTTTCTATGAATACCTCAAGCTTGCGAAAAAAGTGCTTGCAAAAAGGTTATCGTGAAGAAAGTTCCATTCGTTGGATATAGAGCCAATTTGTCAATTTTTTGACGATACATTCCGTACCTTGCAAAAAAACCGATCCTTGTTTACCAACCTCTAAAAGAGTGAAAAAGTGCTTTCGTTGTTGTGGAATAAGAATCCTTCGTATCTTAGTGCACGTATTTAATTTATTCGGAGCTATTAGAGCGGGATCCACTTTAGTATCATATGAAATTCCAAATGTCCTTGTCGCCAAAGACCCGAGTGCTATAGAAGGTTTGTCAAAGAAGTTGGAAGAAATTGAACTTGGGACCAAAAAGGTAAATTACAAGGTGTTTTTTTTTTAAAAGAGTTGTGACTAGAAAACAGTAAAAAGGGCAACAAACAATACGCCAAACTAAGCAAGCCTCTATCTATGAAGTAGATTGGTATTTATCTTGTTATTCTTCCGTATTTTCCTCTATGGTCAAAGGACCAGTTCTTACTATGTCAAGCATTTAGGAGGAAAGTTGCTCTCGGTTCTTACTATGTCAACCATAGGTTACATAACCACGGCTCATAAATATACATAGCAACATCTTTGGTATTATTTAGTTTAATGTCAAAGATTTGAACCATTTTATCGCTCCTAAGTGATCATTTTTCATTGCAGGCACACTCAATTATTCATGTTCGCAAGCAGCATCCCCTGTTCAAGAAAAGGAGAACCGAGGGAATGAATCAATCTTTGATGGTTGGTATACAACTTTTAAATTTCATCACTAGTCATTAATTAAGGTTTGTGCTTTGTTGTCATTAAGTGCTTGCTTTTCTAGTGTGTCGCTGGACCGATTGTGGAGGAGGAAAATGCGAGTCCACATCCCTCTTCACCCACAAATGCGAATGTAGTGAGGGTTACCATAACCTTCTCAACTTAACTTTTTCTCCCTGCTTTAAAGAATGTAAGTCCACAATTCCAAATGTCTTTCGAATTCTGTCCTTTTTCTTCACATGTTGAGGTGTTCAAACTCTACTCCTTGGGGTAGATATTACGTATGAGTTTGAGGTTTTGTTGCTTGAACAAGTCTCGTCGAGTGCAACTGGTTCTGAATCGAGCCTTGGTATTTAATGCTAGGTTCACTTGGATTGGATTGTAAGGACCTTAATATCGGATTTATGAACAAATCAACCTCTTCTCCGCCTCCGACTCCATCCGCAGGTCATTTAAACCAAGGTAAGACTGTGTCCATGACCATATGCATCTATTTCTCATATGTAATTTGGACTTCGTAATTTTCTTAATAAGAGGCAAAATATTATTAATCTTACTTGCAATTTGAAACAAAGGCGAAGGATCGTGTGAGGAGATTTAAGGTGAGAAGCGTGAGAAGGGATCTGGACCCTTATCACCTTTAATCTCAAATCCACCCATGAGTTACGCTTGATACGGAGATTGATCTGGTGCATGTCATCCTAATGTGCATCCAAGGGTGGGAGATCTTTTCTTACGCTTCTCACCTTAACTCTCCTTCTCATCGGAACACAACCCTTGAAATAAAATACTATTTTTAACAGGCTTGGTCTTGGTAATTAGTTATTGATATTTGGAGCAATAAATGCAAGGAAAGATTGTTTGTTGTGTATGGATTAGTTTTCTCACCTTAAACTTGTCTGATTTACAGCCAACTTTAGAGTTGAAGGCAGCTTCAACTGGTTGATATTTACATTGGCCCTATTGGCTAGTTAACAGCATACTGTTATCCACGAGGTTGGTGCTTATTCTTACGGGTAACCTTGAGATTCTGCGCTTGAATCCATATCGGTAAGGGGGCGGGATTTGAACTCAATGATCATCATACATGCTCATATGTTGTATGAATAATGTCATAATCTTCTAGCTATTACAAACCCATTTTGACTCCACAAATAAGCACCTTAACCTTCTTTTTCCGCAAAGTTTTGTAGCGTCGACTACTTTTTAATAGCGACCCCATTGGAAACTCGAGACGGGTGTTGCACACTTGTCCTTTTTTTCTTCTATAACCATGGGGGTCGGTACCGGTTTGTGCAAACCTCAGTGGCCCTGGGAGAGCACTTGAATTGGATTGAACCTTAATATAGCTTGAACTTGGGGTGGTCATCTTGGTCAATTTGGTTTATACAAGTATTTGTTAGCTTTCTTAAATCCCAAAAAGACTGGTTGGGATTTGGTCTTAAATTTAAGGCTAGGGACTAGTTGGGACCTGGTCTTTCCTTAGCCCGGTTTTTTTTGTGAAAAAAGATCGATCCTTTTTAGGACTGGTACGCATCTCTAACATGGACCGTACAATCATATGTACACTTCTTGCTTATGATGTTTTGGACATCACTTAAGAAAACCGTCAAGATGATTGTTTTGGACATCACTTGAGAAAACCGACAAGAGCATGTGCATCGGAATCTGATTCATCATTTTTGTTAGGAACTTGGGGGCTGTTTACCAACAAGAGCATTTATCGTCTGGGATCCCATCAACCAGAAAAAGTATCGGAAATCAACAAAAAAAAAAAGAACTATTAAAATCAACCAAAAAATTGAAAAGTATCTGGAAATCAACAAAAAAAACTTAGAAATCACTTGAAATCATCCAGGAAAACTTTAAAATTTCCTCAAAATGGTGAAATTAGGTTAAAAACACATTGGACGACTTTACGGATCTTTAATCTACTTTAAAAGTACCCCTCCAGGAAAAAAAAATCTTGAATCTGCATGAAAATAGTAGTAAATTGTAAATTATAGGGACGAAAAACGTAATTTTAAAATTACAGGGACGAAAATAGTAAATTTTAACAAATCTCATGGACAAAAACATAGTTTCCACAAAAGTTTATTATTTTGAAAGTTTATTGGATTTGTTTTGGGGTTTTTTTTTTTTTTTGTTATTTTACAGTATTAACCGGTTTTATAGGTTGTAAAGATGTATTTGATAGTTTTAAAAAATTGTCCAGAAACTTAATCATTCAAAATAAGAAAGTTTGTTGGGTTTTTTAAACATTTTCCTAAAATAATACAATTTGTATATGTAACTTCACGTCTTGGATACTATAATAGAAATTAGAACAAAACATGTTACAGTTTCATGTAATTTACCCTTGTTTTTTTTATAAATCCATTACTAATTTGTACTTATGTTTTAATAACTTGTGAATTAATATATTATCTAATAAAAAATAAGAACAACAATAAAAGACAAAAAATCAAAATGCCTCTTATTCAATAGAGTTAGTCATGAGGACGAAAAGCAAAAATACCATGATGACAAAAAAAACAATTTAAAAAACAGGGACGAGAAAAATTATAAACAAGATTTAAAACGATGTGTGGCGTTGCATGGTGGCAAGATCAAGTCTCAAGCCTTACACATTACGGCGAGGATGCAACGTTTTCCAAAACGTGGCATAAAGCGACAAATTTATATGTTATATATAGAATTATATATATATATATTATATATAGAATTATATATATATATATATATATATATATTCTATATATTATTCTAATCAAATAATGATGTTAAAAAATGTACATTCATATTAGAAGAAATAAAATCATATAATAAAAATAGTTTTTGATTGAATATTTAATATAGAATTAAGAAAGGTAATTTTACAACTTTATTTTTTATTGGTGAGTCCATAACATTTATGGATTTATGAAACTGTGAGTTGATGTGATCAGATAAATCTATAGATATGTGAAATCTAAAGTTAAAAGTGTAAAAATACAAGAAATAAAAAAATAAATAATAATATTTAAAAAAAAAACCCGTGTGTTATAAAAAAACGTGCATTTTGATGCATAGTGGCGTGCCTCAAGACGTCATGGTCTGAGTCACGTCGTACATAAATGCTAAGGTCATTTCGTAACAACGGATACACAATTTACGTTGTCATGACGCGTCTTTTTAAATACTGATTATAAACAACAACCGACAAAAACAAAATCATAATTTATTTACAATATTTTATATTCAGACAACCAATTATTGTAATTTTTATCTGTAAAATAACAAACCACCATGATTTATATTAATCCCATTTGACTTTGATTTAAAAAAAAAACTATGGAATATAAACTTGAACATCTTTACGACAATGTTTACAATTACACACAATAATAAAATTGGTTTATTACGATGTTTAGAACGTCTAAACTTCATAACAGATTATTTTATAGAACATAAGTTTAAAAGAGTGAACTATCGAAAAGTGTTGTAATAGGTTTATAAGACATTTTTGAGAGTTTTAACAAGTTCTTTTATGACACTTCTTAAATAAAACATCGTATTTGCTATTTTATAAGACACTTTTAAAAAGTTTCCTATAAACCCATCTTTTTATAAAACATTTTCTTTTTCAAATAGTGTCTTATAAATAGATAATACTACACTTCATTTTAAAATTGTCCTAAAAATCTTGGTAAAACGTATAAAAACGTCCTATAAACCTATTTGTAACATTGTTAGATAAAATCGATTTTTGGTTTATTCCTATAAACTTAACACTGGCGTTCTCGAATTTAGAGGGAAAAGAAAAGAAAATAATTTTTTTTATTTATTTTCATAAAAAAAAAAACTTTGGGATGAATGTTTTGGAAGGAAATTTATCATTATTTCCCTCATTTTCCATTCGTTTCTCTGCTAAAAAAGTTTCAAAAACACGAGTTTTCCTTACTTTCTTCCCCTTTCCTTCAAAAAAAGGTCTCAAAAACACAAATCCAGTAAAGCTATAAGCTATCATACCCTGAAGATTACAAAATAACAAAAAAGTAAAAGTGACTAGCGTGGAAAACTACGAACTACTAGTTTAGCCTATCTGGCCTAACTAGCTTGTTAAAACAACCTGATCGGGACCTCTACCACTCTTGTAGATAACTGAACTATTATGGTACTCCACTCGCCGCCAATGCGGAAGGATGTCGCCGAAAAGAATGAAAGGCTCCAACATGCTCAAGAACCGAGAGACGTCCAGTAGCTGGACTCCACCAAGAAGTTCTTTACCAGTCTGTCTTATAAAATACTTTATTAAAATGGTTTTGTAAATCAAAAAACAGAATATTTGAACAAGTCAAACAAACCCCACTTGGTAATTTATTCTAAAATGTCAACTCAATTATGGGAAATCTGAAATCATGGATTTTTCATTGACTTTTATGTGTATATAAAGTCAACCTACACAAGCTAATTTGAATTGAAGAACATGACAACAAAGATGGCAAAGTTTTCTCCCAAAACAATAATTGTGGTGTTCATCTTTTTACTCATGTTTGGTCATCTTCATGCCATTTCTATCTTTTCAGGTAAACAATACTTGTTTTTTTCATTACTTTTAGAAAAACTTACGGGCTGTTTACCAAACATTTATCCGGTAAGTGCTTATCAAGTTACATTACATTACTAATGAATATGGCAAGAACCAAGAATCTTGTCCGGCAAGAGCGAAGATAAGGATCTAGAGTCTTGTCCAGTAAGTGAGGGCGACGACTCTTACCACGGTTAGCACTTACCGAGTCAATTATTGTCTATGATACCGTTTTGTTGGACTAAAATCTTATTCCGTAAGTAAGTGATAGTATTGAAATTTTGCCGATAAGCACTTACTCTGACAAGCGTTTGGTAAATGACCCATTAGTTTCTTTTTTCGAGAGGATTAAGAAACCTAGTTTTCAGAATCTTTATTTCGAAAAACGTATTACGTTTTTAATGTAATTAAGGAAAAACATGTGAAGGTTTAATATTTAGGGGAAATACATACTTAGTATTGTTGTGTATAATCAGATTACGATCGGCAACAAACACAAACGTCGAGGAAGTTGATTCAGGCTTGGCAGAAGAGGATCGCGGGTTCAAAGAATCAAAGAAAACTGAGAACGGTTTCGGCTCCACCACCACCAAAGATCAGCCGAACTCGTGCTTTCAATATGTCTCCACCACCTTCAACTTGAAGTTGATAACGTTGTTAAGTTCAGTTTCGAACACAAGTCTTCGTTGATATTGATGTTGAATCCCTTCTGTTGTAAAGTAAATCTACGTTTTTCACAATAATTGTATTTTATGTGTCCCGTAAATAAAAACAGAATACAAGAATCTAAGCAATGAGTACACATAGAAACTTATAAAACGATTTATAAGACAATCGAGAGGGTGGTTGAATAGGTTGTTGACAACTTTGTTTAAGTTGACTTTTAGTATTATTATTTTTCCTTGAGAGTGGAAATAGTAATTTTGGTGATTTTTGGGTTGAAAAGTGAGAATTTTGATGAAGCAATGTCATTGTTTACCAACAACAACAACAACAAAACAAAGTAACTTGTATTTGATATAATTTACATCCATGGAGATGCATGTAAAAAAATTATATATATATATATATATATATATATATAGAGAGAGAGAGAGAGAGAGAGAGGGGGGGTTGGGTTTACTTGAGACCAATAATTTTTCGTGAGACCCGTAAAACCAATTTATCTTTATTGATTAACTTTATAAGTTAATAATCTAATGTCTAAAGTTGCACGGTAGCAATTTTGTGATTGTTGAGAAGTCTCATGACAATTTTGTAATTATGAATGTTTAGATTGTAAATATAATCTACGGGTTGAGAATTGCTTTTACGGATCTCACGAAAGACCCTTGGTTTCACATGATCTCAAGTCTATATGTGTGTGTGTGTGTGGAGGTTCAAACAAGAACCTCTGTGATTTACGAGAACGCGAGAACAACCCAATAACCTCAAACTTTTTAATTAATAAATTAACTTATATTAAATATAAATAAATTAATAAGGGCAATAACGTAATTAATTAATTTTTATAATTTTTATTTTAATTAATTATAATTTTTATTTTAGTTAATTATAATTATCCTTTTTTTTTCTTGCACGTTCGTTTCCACTATCTTCTCTTCCATTGTGATAATTGTGTGATTGCGTAACCATAACCTATCGAAACCATGATCAATCGAGTGTAACCATAACCTATCGAAACCATGAGTAATCGTTGTGATAAATGTGTGATTGTCTAACCCTAACCGATCGAAACCATGAGCAAACCGAGTGCGCTGTTATGATAGTGATATCACATGATTATCAATTTATCACACCCATATCACACCAAATCGGTAGTCGATTTCTTAAGTTAACTCTAGCCGAGCGGAATCCTTGTGATAATTGTGTGATAATCACATGATTATCACACCCAAATCATACCAAATCGTGTTGAAATAAGCGATAACCATAATAGCACATTATGTTATCCAAATTATTGGGTTTAGTGTGATCGTGTTTTTAAATTTTATCACTTTGAATTCCAATATTATCCTTTTGCCTCTCAAGTTTTTTTGAATTGTTTTAATTTCATTTTTAATTTAAAAAATCTTTTAATTTTTATTATCATCACTATATGAGGTTAATAGGTTGATCTCGCGTTTTCGCAAATCACAGAGGTTCTCGTTTGAACCCTTCCCTATATATATATAGACTTGGGATCATGTGAGACCAAGAGTTTTTCGTGAGACCTATAAGACCAATTCTCAACCCTTGAATTTAGATCTACAATCTGAACATTCATAATCACAAAATTACCATGAGACTTCTCAATAATAACAAAATTGTCACAATACAACTTTAGACCATTAGATCATTAGCTTATAATGTTGATCAATGAACATAAATTGGGAGACCTGAACCCATCCCTATATATAGGGGCACGTTCAAATGAAAACCGTGCATTTCTAAGAAAC